CTCAGGAGCTCTTCTCTTGCCAAAGCCATTAGTGCATTGGCAGGATAACAGATCCTCTCTGCTAATTCTCTAGGTCATAAGCAAATTGAGACAGAAAAGCTGATCTGCTATCAATCTACATTAGGCACAGGAGTCCAGCTCACCTGTCCAGCAGCCACTGGTTTACAGAAAGTTTAAGGCTGGAATATCAAATTATAATTAAACTGATCCCATTTTGCTCACTGCTCAGGCAGGCTGGGCATAGAGCTCTGGGACAGGGCTGTACAATTCTTGCTGTCCCCAGGTGAGAGCACGGCACAGGGAGGGCAATTCCTCAGACAGTGCCCCGGGACTTCCACCGTGCTGCTTCATCCTTTCAGGGAAATCCACAGCCATGGTGTTGCAGCTATGCTCCATGTCCAGGGGCTCTGGGGTTGCGGCCCCACAGGGAGGGCTCGGATTCAGGCAGTTTGTGCTTACCTCAGAGTCTTGATGCCAGCTCACAGTTGTGCAGCTTGCAATTTGGAAAGGGACAGATCAGGGAAATGTTGCATATGGGATGTGGGAAACTCCTTCCCTAGAGAGGAAGGGGTGAGTGAGGGCAGGAGGAGGCAGAGTTTTTTCTAGAAACAACCCAAGTATCTCCCAGCATGGGCAGAAAGAGTTTTCGATAGCCTCAATATAAACTGCTTAGTGCGATTAAAACAACCCGCTCTCATGGAAGGGAAAACAATCCTCCCAGGGAGGATTAAGCCCAGGTCTGGAGCCCCTCCCTCCATGGACACACCAGTCTGTGGATGAGTACCCTGGGCATGGCAGGTGCTGGGACAGTGGTCTTCTCTGCCATGCGTGCAGAGAGGTTTAGCCTGGATATTAGGTAAAGGGTATTCCCACAGCAGGTGGTTGAGCACTTGAACAGGGTCCCCAGGGAATGGTCATGGCCCCAAGGCTGCTAGAGCTCAAGAAGCATCTGGACAATGCTCTCAGGCACAGGGTGGATTTTGGTGTTCTGTGCAGGGCCAGGAGTTGATCCATGCAGATCCCTTCCACCTCAGAATATGTGCTTCCATGATTTCAAACACAAGTGGTGCCTGCAAAACCTCCAGAGTCACATTTGCAGTGAACAAAGACACCCACCTGCACATCATTTCAAATCCTGCCTTTGATCTCAGGTTCCGGTAACAACCTTCTCCCCATCCAATTACTTGTCTTACAATTGACATAGAAATATTAAATTCCTAAGAACTAAAGCGCTTTCGAAGTATAACCTACTTTCAAAGTAGACAAGATTTATCGTGGAAGCATTTGCTTTCTAGTCCTTGACATTATCAAAGTCACTGATGCCTCATCAGCAGCTCCACAAATGAGGCCTCCAAACACAATGTCTAGTTGCCTTTTGCTGAGCACTGTTTGCTGGCTGAGCTCTGATGATGGCAGTCTGGCACAAGTCCAGATTTTTGTTGGTGTTACATTTGGTCAGGGTGTGATTTCAGCAGAGGAACCCCAGCAAAGGCATTTGCCATTGCAGGGAAAGGAAGTCAAACAGCCATCGTGGAAGTGCTCCATCCCTAGAAGTATTCAAGGCCAGGACGAAGCAACCTGGTCTAGTGAAGGTGTCCCTCCTCATGGCAAGGGTGGAATGAGATGAGCTTTAAAGTCACTTCCAACTCAAACCATTCTGTGATTCCATGATCCTTCAGAAGCAGCAACAGCAGGACACAACTGAGCAAAGAACAATTTGGTAAATGCTACTGTAGCAGGAGTCTTGACCTACAGATATCACTACAAAGTGACTATCCCAGAGGAGGACTTCCCTGTAAGGGTCACACCACTGCCTCACAGCCACATCCAGCCCCTTCTGCCTCCCTGGTGGCACTAGAGCTGGTCCTGGCTGCGCCCCTCTGACTGTGTGGCAGGTGGTGGCCCTGTCACCATCCCCTATGACTCTATAACCATGTGACCATGGTGTGCTGTGGGCACCCTTCTGCTGCCACACACTTCCAGGCGCAATCAAGTCTGTCCTGCAACCCTCTGACCATTGCTGAGTAGCAGAGGCAGCCGCTGGCAATGTGGGCTCACTGCTGCTAGCCACAGCATCCAGAAAACAGCTCAAATTAAAACTGGGAAACCTTTGCAATGGAGCAAGCACCATGCTTCTGGTGGCGGCGGCAGCAGCAGCAGCAGCAGCAGCAATGGTGCCCCTGGTCGACACCTCTGCCTGGTCCCAGCTCTCATCATAAATTGCTGCACTAACCTACATGGAGAGGCATTAACTTTCTCTCCTAAAACAAGGTGCAATTAGTTGGGCTTAAAAGAACACCAAGCAGTGCTAATTACTCTCTAAAAGATGAATAGAATTAAGCCAGAGAAGCAGAAAATTACCTTTGTGGGAGATCTGTTGCAGAGTTTAACTGAACAAGGATGGTAGCTGGATTGACAATGAAGAATTTGTCTTTTAACACCAGTTCACAAGCACCTTGACTATCACCTTTTTTTTGCTCCTGGAAATCACCTAGAGTTTTAATTAATAATTAAATAATAAATAATAACGAGCTAATAAATAATTAATCAATATTTACTTAATAATTAATAAATAATATTTAATTAATATTTAATTAATAATAAATAAATAAAATTAATAAATATTCGCTAACGAATAAATAATAAATATTTAATTAAATAATTAATGATAAGTAATATTTAATTAGTATTTAATAGTATTAAATTATAATTAGTTAATAATAAAAATCTAATAAATAATAAATATTTAATTAAATAATGATTAACAAATAGTATTCAATAATAGTAGATAATATTTAATCATTATTTATTAATACTTAGTTAAACTAATACATATAAAGATAACAATATCTTGTTAAAAGTAATTATAATTAATAATAATTTTATTATTTTAATAAAATGAGCAACACAAAGCAATGTAATAAAGAAAATCGTTATTATTTTAAACAAAATCAAACCAAAATAATAAAAATGAAAAAAACCCAGCTTTATTCCCGATATTTTAAACATTATCTTCAATCCAGAAACTACAAAACAGCTCCTCTCTGTCCTGCAGAAACAACAGCTCGTCTCCCTGTGCCACTCCAGACCCTGCACCCACCCTAGGGCCTATAAGCCCACCCCAGAGTCAATGTCCCAGCCCCACAGTGAATTCAGCAGCAGCCCTACAGTGGCTATCAAAGACGCAGACAAAATCCCAGCACTGCCAGCATTTCAGCTCCCATGTTACGGTCCCATTATTTTGCCCCTACCCATCTTGTTCTATTTCCAGTCACAGGACCCAGCCCCAACATCCATATCACAGGCCTACAGTGATTCCAGCACACAGATCCTACAGTGGCAATTGCATTATCAGTCCCTATCCCAGCCCCACAGTGAATTCAGCAGCAGCCCTACAGTGGCTATCAAAGACGCAGGCAAAATCCCTAACCCTAACGCATTTCAGCTCCCATGTTACAGTCCCATTTTTTTGGCCCTACCCATCTTGTTCTATTTCCAATCACAGGACCCAGCCCCAACATCCATATCACAGGCCTAGAGAGATTCCAGCACACAGATCCTACAGTGGCAATCGCATTATCAGTCCCTATCCCAGCCCCACAGTGAATTCAGCTCTAGCCCTGGAGAGCCCTTCCCATCCCCAGTGATTTCAGCTCTTGGCCCACAAGCTTTATTTCACTGCAAGCTCTCTTCTTCCAGCTCCACATCCGCTTCTTTTTCCCCCTCTCTGGTAGGTGAAGCTGCTCCAGTTTGAGATAAAGGGTCTTTTTTCTTGGTTCCAGCTCTGAGGTTTCACCTCCAGGCTGAGAAATGCCACTCCCACCCCATCCCAACCCCAAAGCAATGTTTACTGTATTTACAGCCTGCCCCGTTGTGTACCATTCTATGCTTGCTTCCCACATGTACAGTCACTATCCCCTCAGAACAGTGTTTGCAGCAGTCCCCATACCAGCCCCAGTGATTTCAGTTTCAGTCCCACAAGCTTTATTTGACTGCCAGCTCTTGTGCTGCGCTTCTGCCTCCTCATCTTCCCAGCAGTGCCACATCATGCTGCTTTCTGGCTCTCCAGGGCTGGATCTCTGTTTTAGCTCTAGCTCTCTGTGGTTTGAGTTTAGCTCTTGAACCCACATTCCAGCCCCAACCTGACCATCCTTACTGCAGGAACAGCTTTGCAAGGCCCTATCCCAGCCCTTACTCTGACTTCAGCTCCAGCCACGCAGTTTGCATCCC